TATTATTATTATTATTATAATTTTTACTGTGTATAAAGGAGGATTATGATTTTTTAATTTTTTGGGTAAAATTTTCAGTCAGTCAAAATTAAAAATAATCGTATAGTAACATCCAATTTATGATTTCATAATGGACATTATGTCTAGAATTTTATTGTTGTGATTGATACATTCATCACAAAAATACGATTGCATCAAATAATGTGTACTACTTACTAAAATTTGTTATCAAACATAATACTTAGTCTTGCGTATAATAATTTCTATCGTTTTCTTTGTTATAATGATTAAAAAAAACTCCATTGCTTAAATACTTGGTGTAACAATTTCTGAGATTATCTAAAATAATGTTCATTATAGATTCCTTTACTTCATAAACTATTGTGTCGTCGTTTATTCTATTGTTCATGGCATCCAGGATGAAATCGACGTAAGGTCCAACTCTAGTGTATACTGCAGCTTGTTTGGACTCGTCACATCCAAATGGACTTGAGCTCAAGATACCAATTACAGTGTTATTATCAGCGACTAATGGACCACCGCTATCTCCCTGTATGACAAATATATTACATAGCATATTGACACAATGATGAGGTGCTTGATAAATTAACAGACAAAATCGTTCTTTAAGCGGGAAAACTTACAACGGTGATGGAAATATAGGTGGTTCGAGGAGGTCTGAATTTCTGTGAAAATTTTGTGTTGCTTTACCCATACTTACTACCAGGTGGTATATGTATCTCGGGAATCATAGTAATCATACTAAAAGTAATCGAAATAAATGTCTGCATTTACGATTAGCTGAGCTAAGTAATAAGAATTTTTTTTTTTTTTCGCTATATTGATCAAATGGACGGACATAAATATGTTCAAAAGTATAAATTTTATCAACACGGCGGAAAATATTCCGATACCACTTCTTGGAGGATTACTAGAGGACCATTTATATAGTTAAACTTACTGTATAACAAATATTCTGTTATTCTCTGCTATTTAAAACTTTTTTTATGTAAATGTAAATACTATGAATTTTTTGATAAATGTATTATCATGAAAAATGTATTAAATATTACACATGTAAAATAAAAAGTATTGTTACTAACATTACGTACGTATGTATAAGTTCATTATACTTTCTGTTCAAGTGAGATAGCAAGGAAATTTACTAACATCAACTATGCTTCAAAGTTATTAATAGAATAAAATGATGTGGGTAATGTAATTTTACTTTCATATATAATTCAGACGATAAATACTAAAAAAAATACTGAAACAAGGTTGAATACAATAAATAGTATGTAATAACGTAAATGAGTACAATATACCATTAAATTTGATAGAGATAAATCTTTTAATAAGTGAAAATGATAAGAACAGAAAATTTAACAAACTTTTGGACGAAAAACATCAGAAATAAGCTAATAATTTTCAAATTACAGGTAAAAACTTACTGAATATTTAAAATCAATAATGTTTATATCATTAACATTAACATATTTTGTTAAACTTAATACCCTTATTTCAACTCTTTAGTATTGTTACTATTTAATATTGTTGTATTGATTTTAGACTGATTTTTAAAATAAATTATATTTGCAACGGTTTTAAGAAATATGTTTTTTTTTTTTTTTTTTTTACATCATATCCTACAGCAACAACCTTACTTTAATATTGAAACAATTTTACGAAACACTGAACAATACTATGGAAGAGTTAAGTCCTTCATGCAACATTCATTATCCATCGTGATTGTTGCACGATTTAATTAAACTAACAAACATTGAGGAACAGTTATATATACTTTATATTTACGTTGTACTTTATAGCTGGTACTCGAGAGTTGGTGTAAGCGATACAAAATTTTTACAAAAACATCTAGTAGACGGAATAGGCACACATGCCTTTTAATCACCATAAAAACGGCTGAATAAACTTACTGAACAAACTCCTTCTGGAACAGTGATATATCTTTGGACAGTTTGGGCACAGATGAGTGTATCGGTAAGTACTGTGTGTGGATTTTTTTCTGCACACACTTTATTACTTATGACATTTGTGATTGCGTATTTCAAAACGCTACGATATGCCCCACCAACTTCTATTGACTTTTGTTTTTTTTCGTCATATTTAACAGTAATCCAATCCCATCCATAACCTGATATTATGGCTGGCTTATTCACGTAATTCGTTAAATAATTAACATCTATATTTGGCAGATTTAAGGCAGTCAAATCTGGATTCTGAGCAATATTCAAGCTTCTTTTAACCTAAAACGAGATAAGGGACAATAGTTAATGCATATCTGCAAAGAATTAAAACTATAGGAAGTGCTAAAACTAAGCAACATTTACAACATTTACAACAATCTTTGCAACAAACAAAAACAAACAAAGTTACTAAAAAAGATAGGTTAAACTCTCTTGATGAACTTTGTGACAACGATCTAACCTACAACCCAATAGTAGAACTTACAGATTCTTCTATGGACTTACCAAGTGCAATGTTTTATAAAAAATAATAATTGTCAAGCAAATTAAAGAAGGTACAACTTGGAAATTATTTTTCTGATCAGACAGCATCTTATTTTTAATAAATAAATAATGCAAAAACTCAGATAAATAATCAGTATCACGACATCACTTACTTTCAGTATTGCGATATCATCTATTAATCGATCTGGGAGATAACCTTTGTGCACGTATACTTTTTCAATTTCAACTTCCACTCCAACTTTTTTAATCGACAAGTCAGTTTTCCCAGCGAAAATTTTGAAGTATTCCCCGGTAAATTTGCCACTTTTGTCGCACACACAGTGAGCAACAGTCAGTATGTGATAGTCATTTAAAATGCCACCACCACAGACACTTTTACCACAAACCTGAAGAGAAGCCATGTATTTAAAATCACCCTCGCAAGATGAACTACCACCACATAGTAATTCTGTTTCCAAAGTCATAACTAAAAAAAAAAAATAATTGTTCTTACGATTTTACTCGCCTAAAATAATTTTATTACAAAGAACACGGTATCATGAGAAATGTATACAATGATTATTACTATCTACAACTCTTAATTTAGTTATACTGATATAAATAATTACCATGAGAAATCAATAAAATCACACATGATGTGTGGAGGTGTAAGTTTAAATAAACCATTTGTATTTTGAAAGTTGACTGGAGTGAAATTTGAAAGAAAGTTAAAATACGTCCAGAAAAATATGGCTTCATAAAAATATCCGCGTAATAAGTTTAGTTGTATGCTAAATTGCAGTTCACAGATAATTTTTGTTTAAATACCAAGGTGTTGTGATTAAAATTCATAATTATTAGACTGTTAAGTGGATTACAAAGTTTATTCAAATTTATTCTTTTTTTTATGAATCATGCATTTCCAATATTGGGCCTAAATAATGTTACATGTAAATTGACTATCAGTAGTGTATAGAATAACGTTGTTGAAATGTAACCTGATGATTACTTTAGAATTAATCAGAACCGTTTTTTATGCGAAGTTAAAGGTTTACCCCCTCAATTTATTCTTCTCCAAACTTGAAACTTTCATGAAATTAAATATTAATATTCGAATCAGTGTAAACTAATTATAACCAGTTTCAACCTTGAATTTAATAGTTCTTGTAAGTCATAATATAATATCATAGTTATTAACAATCAGTTTTATAACATTTACAACTTGGAAGAATGAAGTAAGTTCACCTTGGGTGAATATATATTTAGTTTTTTTAAAACAATATAAGGTTTACAGTTGTTGATTGTTTAAAATCTGTAGTCAATTAAATAAGAATTTCCATAACTCTTAAAAAATAAAACATAAAAATTTTTAATTTAATGATAATTCTGTCAAGTACGATGTGCAATAACTACGATCTTCACAGCTGTTTAAATAAAATTTAAAAGCTTAGTAGTGTTAAGTAATACCTGAGACGTTTAATTTAAGTAAATTAATTCTAACAATCTAAAATTAATTTTTAATCATACTGTAAAATGAAGATCTTTGTTGTAAAATTTTTTTTTAAATCTTGTGTAGCCATGACTTAATGAATAGTAAATATGATCATACCAAAAATTGGTAAAATATAAGATCCAACAAAATCATTAAAATACAATCAGACAGTTGTGCTTGTCTTACCCAAATAATATGTCAGACATATCATATCAGGCTCTCAAGATTAGGCTACAAAGACACAAGCTAGAACTGAGTAAATTTTTCTGAAATTCAAACAAATATTTGTCAGTAAGTTTATGATATTACAGTTAATACGAACTTTGCAAATAAAAGAATTGTATGACTTGTAAAAAATTTATTTGGCCATGTTACTGGAAACTAATAAAAATTTAAAATCAATAATGTTTATANATTAAACATAATGTTAATTTGTTTGTTTGTTTTTATTAGTGTATTTTACGAAAAAAAAACGTTTTATTTCTTATAGGTTGGCAACAAAACAATTATCTTGATACTTGTTTTTATTCACTTATAATAATTAAGTTTATTTTTAGTGAGAATTGACAGGTTAATTGATTTTGTTTTATGAAATATTTCTCGTTATGGTGACAAAGTATTTAATCTTCAATGAACTGCAATCTCTAGTAAAGAAAAAAAGCAGAAGTAAAAAAAATTAAACACATAAATTGAATATTTTATATTTATAGTGTAATACCACACAAACTGGATAATCCACAAACAAAAATTATCTCATTCATTTAATTATTTATGAAAAGAAGTAAAAAATGTAAACTAATAATAACAAATAATAAAGCCCAGATTACGGACTATAATTATATTTATTTTCTAAGTAGTTATGATCAGTTATTATTGATTTATAATTTTTTTATGAATGTTAGCATGAAAAATATGGTTTCATTCCATCATTAACAAACGAAAATAAATCATTTTTAAGAAAAATACTTATAATTTGAAGAAATTTTTATCAGCTGCCCAAAAATTTTCATGGTAATTGATAATAAATAGTACATAACTATGAGTTATGTTTTAATTACTTATAACTTGTTACAGTTAATATTAGTTTGTTATTTTTTTTTGTTTGTTAAAATTTATTCTCAGTCACAAATCTGGACTTTATTAACTCTTATCTTCAATTTTTATTACTCATCATTAGTAATTAACTTGGATAATTTTCACTTGGGTCTAACCAAATTTTCCACAAATAAACATGATCGCATGTGGAGCAAATGTAATCGTCTCGATGGAATGCTAGGACGAAACGTAAACAATTTTCTCATTCAAACACTCGTTATTTTCCAGCTCTTTACTTCTTTCCAACTGTGTACGTTCAATATATTACAATTACCCACTCACAGGACATGTACCCACGTAGACGATTTAGCCGTTCATCCGCGCAAAGCTAAGCCTCCCGTGTATCATGGCGCGCTGCACACGCTCGGGGGCCCAACGATGAAAACAATGCCCGGCCTATTGTGTTCTCGCATCCCAGTGGCGCTAATGCGGCTCGGTGCCCCTGAGGCATCATCGGCCTTCTCTTTCTGTTCTCTTTTTTTTTCCTACACGCATTGCGGACTGCTAGGGGGAGCATTGCCACAGTCCTCTTTTTTTTATTGGGATATAATGGTGAGTTTGGACGACATGCAGGCTAGGAAGAGTATAGATATCGCGTCATCGCTCGAGCGCAAACTTTAATTCCTGGGTAACTGTGTGGGTGTGGGTTGATCGCTCTTTTTTTCGGTTTCCTTGATTATGAGGCTGATGCGCGCGCCTAATGTTGTTCAGCGATCGAGCGTACATGCGAGCTTCTTTTATACCTTGTACGTGTCCAAGGGAGCATGAGTTTGATTCGAGGTGGTTGCTGAGGATTTAGTTTGTGGGAACTTGCCCACATTAGGAGGCTTTGATGTTGCATGGTGGGGCACAAGGAAAACGTATTTGGATGGTCGAGAGGTTTTTTACTTGACGAAATGGACGAAAGTACGGTTTATGGGTTATGGTTGTCATTTTGTGGATCGTGGCTGGTTAATAATGTTGTCCACATCGTTTTTGAAAAGTATATCATTTGAAGGTGATTTTAAAAAATTGTCACTTTATGGTTAATTTTTTCCCACGACTGTTCTATCATATTGTCTTATATTTTCAATAAAGTGAGAATTTCAAATTATTCTGTTCAAATTTGACGAGTTGCTTCATTTTCATATCTAAACCTTACGCTTCGCAACTGGTGAAGTATCATCAAAGATAAAAAGTTGTACCATCCTCAAGATAGCGAAAATCTAAAAAAATTTGATGATTTTGCACGTGTAATGATATTGTGGTTTTATGTACAGTAGAGTACAGATTTGTAAACTGTGGCTGTGTGGCTTACTGTTCTTTAGAAAACATAATAAATAATTTCGACGTCCTAGAAATAGAAAACTATTCCGGTAACAACCTTAAAACTTGACAACATTGGTTTGTATGAGGTTAAGTTGGTTACAAATTTTAAACCTTGGAATAATACAATTTTTGCATATTACGTGTTTTTTGGTTCTCGATGTAGTCTTATTAATAGTTTAAACATCAAAAATTGTGCTCTTTACCCATCATAGGAGAAAATTTATGTTTTACGATAAATTTAATAATTACAACGTTGTCACCTCTTTTTCTTTAAATAATAAAAAAAAATTTATTCTCTGTAGAGCCAATTGTTTTCGGATTAGGTGACTAAAAAAACTACAAATAACAACCCTTTTGGATGGATGTTTTTGTCATATAGGTAACTTTTTTTGTAAAGAAATATTTATTGATCGAATAAAATACCAAGAAAAAGAAATAATTCATCGAAAAAACCAAATCACGTGAGAATTTGATAGATAAAGAAAAAGTCCCGAGGCTAATCAAAATATCATAACACGAGAGTCCCGAAAAAAAAGGAGGGCGAAAGCGAAAGAAAATCAGACTTGCAGCGATTCCGCGGTCCAGAACCTCTACGGCTCTGCTTTGACGTTCAATCGAGCGCGAAGTTATATCTTGTATATACACAGCCACGCGAGTAGAGCTGATCTCTTTTCTCCGGAACGGCAGGTTTTACATTGTACTTACAAATACCATACACACGTACAAGGAATTCCCCTCGTACGTACCTCTCGCACTATTACACTCGGGCGCACGAGCTACCTTTTTTCAGCGTAGAGATTTTCTTTCCCTTGCTCTTTCTTTTTTCTCTTTTATGTACCATTTTTTTTTTTTTTTTTTTTTTTTTTAGCGACCAACGCCAGAGTTTTTTCCAAAAAGCCTGAAAATGGTATTAGTCGAGCGTTGCACAATGGCTCCATTGTAGATGGCTGGATTAATCACATTTTTAAAGTAATCTAATTCCTTATTTTATACAGCTGAAAAACATTTTCTTCCACCAATATCTTTATTAGTTTCCTTACAAAGTAGATATTTCTATAACATAAACTCTCATGATTGATTTCTACTTGGGCTCAACAATTGATTTCTACTTGTTTCGTGTTTTCGGGGAACCGTCGTTTGAACAATAATTAAACCTTAATTCTGGTAAATTAGAAGCTCGACGTATCCCGTAAACATCAATCCGGAGCGGCATCTCCGTTGGGGTCGGGTCCCATACCGGAGCGATCGAGGGCCAAAATAGTCTACAACACAACGAACCCCAGCTGAGCAGCACGTCTGTTTAAACTGTACGTCTACCTACGACTGCTCGTGTAGGTACAGAGTTACACGCGGAAACAATTCCAGGAAGCGAATTCAGCTCTCTCGCTTGCAATTGCGCTTAAACGACTTGTCGTAGCCCGAGGCTCCTTTCCATTCTCTCTCGTATAAACGTAGGGTTGAACACCCTAAAATTAGCCCGTAGTCGAGCTAAACGATATCTCGTCGTCGTGGGCATATGTGCGGGTGCGCGAACAAAAAATGCTTACATTATCATGTGTAATTTCGTAAACAAGCGGCAGCTATACGCTG